AAGGGTATTATATCTCCTTTACTTTTCTTTCATTTAGTGATTTTTCATTCTCCTTGCATACACCTTATCACAATAAATCTCTTAGCACTGTGATTTTAGCAACGAACTTAAAAGTTTTTGCCCCACTTATCACCACAACCTCAAATAAGGAGGATGCTTAATCAAACCTATCTATGACTGGTTGAACAAACTGTGGTACATCCATATCATGGAATACTACTAAGCAATAAAAAGGAATAAAGTACTAGCTGGGTGGTGTTGCATACCTGTAGTCCCTGCTACTCAAGAAACTGAGGCAGGAGGGGTTGCTTGAGCCCAGGAGTTCAAGGCTGCAGTGTACTATGATAATGCCTGTGAACAGCCACTCCTGCCTGGGCAATACAGCAAGACCCCATATCTAATAAAAGAGTAAAAGGAAAAAGAAATAAACTATTGATACAAGGAACAACTTGAATGAATCTCAAGGGAATTCTGCTGCATAAAAAAAAGATCAATCCCCAAAAGTTATATACTGTTATATAATCTTTTTGAGTAAACATGTTTGGAATGACAAAATTATACAAACAGAGAACAGATTAGTAATGGCTGATGGAGATTGGAGGGAGAGGGGATAGGAGAGAGGTGGGTGAATGTGGTTGTAAGAGGGCAACAGATCTTTGCGCTGATGAAACTGTTCTGTATTTTAACTGTAGTGGTAGAATCTACATGTGAAAACACTGCATAGAACTAAATATAGTTGGCTCTCATTTTCCTTGGGCTCTGCATCTGGGGATGGAAAATATTCAAAAAAAATAAAAACACAAGTTTTAAAATGCAGTATAACAACTATTTATATGGCATTTACATTGTATAAGGTATTATAACTAATCTAGAGATGATTTAAAGTATGCAGGAGAGCCGGATGTGGTGACTTATGCCCAGCACTTTGGGAGGCTGAGGCGGGAGGATGGCTTGGGTCCAGGAATTCAAGGTTGCAGTGAGCTTTGATTATGCCACTGAGCTCCAGCCTGGGTGACAGAGTGAGACTCTTAAAAAAAAACAAAACAAAAAGAACACACCCAAAACAAAGTATACAGGAGGATGTGCATAACTCATATGCAAATACCACACCATTTTATGTAAGTGACTTGAGCATCTTGGATTTTGGTATACCTGGGGATCCTGAAACCAATCCCCAAGGATACCAAGGACAATCACACACACACACACACACACACACACACACACACAAATGAGTACAAGTAAAATTGGGGAAATGTAAAGACTGGTAGATAGGTAGATGGTATCAATGTTATAATAATGAACAACAGTTTTGCGAGGTTATTAGTGTTGGGGAAACTGAGTAAAGAGTGTAAGAGATCTCTATAAATTATTCCTTAAACTATGTGAATCTGCAGTTATCTCAAAATAAAAAGTTTGATTTTCTTAAAAAGTGATAACACTTGGGAAACTGGGTATTAGACGATATTAGGGAATGACAGTATAATGGTTATACAGGACAATGTCCTTATTCTTAGGAGATGCTTCTTGAAGTATTTAGGTATGAAGTTTTATGTCTGCAACTTACTTTTAATTGTTTCAGATATATATGGGGAGAGAGAAAGCAAATATGGCAAAATGTTAAATATTAAATTTAGGTAAAGAGTTTATGAGTGTTCCTTGTTCTCTCAACTTTTCAGTTTGATTTTTTTTCCAAAATAAAGGCAGGGATTAAAGATACATTGTTATCCTAAAACTATGTTATAGTCCTACCTACACACCAATTAGTCTTTTTAAAGGCTTAAGAATAAATAACTGTTCTCCTAAAACTATGCTATAGTTCTACCCACACTCTCATTAGTCTTAAAACAAAAATGCCAAAAAGGATTTCAGGGTAACTAAGAGTAATGTAGCATTGGATGTGACTTTCTAACGTGTTTTCTAACATGAATTCACTAAATCCGTAAGGCATATGGGTATTTTCGTAAAATTGTTAGTTCAACATGGATGATTCTCTCTTACTAGAAAAACTGGCCCCTAGAGTTGTTCTACTTTTGACACAAGTTAAATAAATTATAACTGCAAGAGAAAAACCTAACACCTCAAATTTTGTTATCAAGTTTGACAAACACAGTTAATTCTTTCATAAGGAAATGTTTGGGTGAAAGAGGCAACCCACACACTAAATGCCAAACAAGAAATATGCTACAATGTATTAATTATAGCACCAAGACCACAGGACATATTTTACAACTTAAACAGTCCCACAAATATAAATGCGCTTATGGTTTTTAAAAAATGCAAACTGCACACATTTGAAAAGTAGGGAATAAGTGGGTTTGAGCTAGCATCAACAAGATCCCTCTCAAAAGTTCTTATATTCTTTCTTTCTGCTAAGTTTTTGCAGCAGTGTTAATACACTTCAGTGCAAAAGAAAAGTCTACGTCTAGAACATCTCAACTGAAGGCTCTTAACTTTTCACTTCCTACCGAACCGCCCCCTCACAATGGGCCCCACCTCCTAAAGAGAGTGATGGGGTGGGGCTGTTTCCCGCTCCGAAACTAAGAAATAAAGGTCTCGTCCCCACTTAAGAAAGAAGGGAACAAGAGACGCAGAGGAGCTGCAGACTTACAAGGAGGTAGTCGTTTGGAAAGCTTCCTTTCCTCCACTGAACTCCCCCTTCCTTTCCTCCTCCCAGGTCATTCTGCGACGCGCGACCGGGCGGAGACAGGTGAATCCCAAGAGGGGAGGAAGAGGGAGGGACGGACGATGGAGGGAGAACGGCGCTTAGGCAATGAATGAGCCGTGCTGCATCCGCACCACCTGTTCCTTCCAAGGGTGCCAACCCGGCCTGCCGGGCAGGATTCCCACACCAACCGTGCCGCGACTACTGCCGGTGTTGGTCGCTTCACTGCTGAAGGCCGGGCCTCTTCTCCCTTAGCTTGGGGAGGATGAAAACCGGCATTCCAGAAGCCAGGAGGTCGGGGCCTAGCCCGGAACCAGGGCCTCAAGCGTGGAGACGGGAGGGGGAAGCCTCTGGTCCCTGGCGCGCGAGCCGAAGTGGGAACCATAGAGAGAGGACGAAGAAGTGCATTCGGCCTAAGACTACGAAGGCGGGGTCGGCTCGGTGCCCGCCCGGCCGAGGTTAAGGGTGACAGGCCCGGTTATTGGCTAAATGCTCCCTACTGCTTGCCCAGAGCCTCACGCTTACCAAGATCCGTTTGAAGAGCGCGTTCTCCTTGGGCGGGAGGCTCACGGCCGGCATCGTTCCGGCTCCTCCCGCTGCTCCCGCCACTACCCGGCTCGGTCAGTCTGTTTGTCCGACCGCCGCCGCTGCCGTTCCTTTGCTGCTTCAGCCTTGAATACAACGATCCGTCGCCACCACCGGGCCTTGGGTGTCGCCGCGTCTCCCTACCCGGACACCCCCTTCTCCTCGTTGTCTTTTTTCCCTTTCTCACTTAACGCTGCCGCCTCCTCCCCCCCCACCACGGGTCTCCGTCGGCGGTTCACGTGGTAACTGAACAGACGGACAGAGGCAGCCAAAATGGCGGACGCGGAGGGCTTTCCCACCCGGGTCACATCTCGTAGTACGCAGGCGCGATGACCTCCTCTCCCCACCTCCTCTGTCCTGGAGCTTGCCGGGAAACCTGGAGGCTGGCCCGCCTGCAGAGGCAGAGAGGGTCGGGTCAAGCCCCGCCCATCCTCTTAGTGCGTGCCTTCCAAGCGCTCGGGCAGCGACTGTCTCGTCATCAAAAATAGCCTTGCTGCTCCTTCCTACTACTAGATTGCCTTTCATTCATTGGGCAGACTCTCCCACACTGTGTGACCAAAATTTGAGCCCGAAGTGCTAAGATGCAGGTGTAGGTGTTTAGGAAGCGCTGTATTTGATCATGGACGAAGTGCCTAATTAAGGAGCATAGGCGGAAGGGAAAATGGAAGTCTTCGCTGCAGTGGGAATTTGTGAACAGATACGGAGAGGAAGGGCCTTAACAGAGTCTGAAAAGCGTGAAAGAGCTTGACCGATTAAATGTGTCTGGCTGACTGAGGTATTGATGATTTGGTGAACATTAAGATGAGCCTGGAAAGGTAGTTAGCCAGATCCGAAGTGACGTATTTGTACTACCAAAGGAGCCTCTGAAGGTTGAAGTGTGTGTTTTTATTTCGTTGTTGAGGCCATACAATGCAGAGTTGACAGACTTACCGGATGAGTCACCTTGGGGCTATTGGAGAGTGAAAGGACACTGTCCTGGAGCTGGCTTCAAGTTAGTGTTTAATATTGTGACTCGTTGAACTCCCCATTACCAGAAATTTTCAAATCTCAAGGCAAAGAACATCTTGTAAAGATACAGGAAACTGCTCTAGTGAGCAAGGTCAGACTGTATACTGAATCGGACCCCTTCCAAAAATGTAAGTCATTTCATTAAAAGAGAGGGTAAAACTTTTTCAAAGTGGCATTCCTTTGATGATCTAAACATTTTCAAGTCATTTGAGCCATTTTTACCCTTTTTTTTTTCATCTCTTTCTAAATCCTGAATTAGATCTATAGCATTCTTTGCATTATGAATCATTAAACAATACATTTGCAGTAGTTTTGCTCTTTGATACTTCTTTACAAAGATATTTTACAGTTTTCAAATTGCTCTTCTTTAACCCC